TTTTTTTTTTGTTGTAGAAGACAGATTTAGAAATTGATCTCAATGCAATATACATACAGATAATGAATTGAGGAAATATAAGTTTTTTTCGATATTCGATGAAAAATGAATTTTACTTTCTTACATCGATAGAGCTGTTCAAATTTTTATTAATAAAAAATTATTAAAGCTATTATTTTTTTATGAATAAATTTCGACAATTTTACGGCAAAGTTTTCATCCAAATGTTAAAAGTCTTTATTGGAACAGAGATCGGAGAAAAATAATTAAATTACGACAACTTCTTGTCTTCGCAACTTTTTTTTTTTTTCTTCCACGAAGCACGAGAAACTCGAGGCAAAGGTCTCATATACGCAAAGGAAGATCAAACGTCGTAAAAAGTGGTGTACGAAACGTTGGTAAAGTATAACGAGAACATTAAGCTTACACCGAGGATTGTAATTTATGCCAAGCGTTACATTTTATCTCGAGATTATCACGTGCCTCTTTGAAGAAGTTCCGACGGCTAACGAAGCCGTTGTTACGCGCTCCAAATTGGGTCACTCTATCAAGAGATTATTAGACTGCAAATTTTTACAAATTCAATATGAAAAGTGTAGGTAATCAAATTTTTATGAAAATAAATTCTGAATTTAATTTGCTTTCTTGTTCTTCAACCATTACCAATGTGTTTCGTATTTTGGATATTTTTCTTCTGTCATTTTTACTATATCTTTTATAATACTTAACTAAGGAATATTTATTTAGATTGCATTAATTTAATAGGAATGTGAATTTGCAGTCTAGTTATCGAGAAAAAAGTCAGGTGTTGTGATCTCAATTTCACGAATTGAGAAAATGTGTGCATTGAATCGTCTAGAGAAACATGCGTGAAATCATATCAGTAAAGCGATAACTAAGAATATTAGATTTCCAAATATAGAAGAAATAAAATCGAGGAAAATTTGTTGAAATATATATATTTACCTTGCATAAAATATAGTGTTAAATGAAAATACAATTTTGAATTGTATCAATATGAAATTAAATATGAAATTAATCTTGCATGCATCTCAAATATACATAGAATAGTATATCAAGATAATAAAGGAATTAATTGATTGATCGGTAAAGATGGCTAATTAACAAGTGCAAGACTGGCATTCTATCTCCATATATAAATATTTTAATCAAGGATTATGAGAACAGCGTAAACCATATTATATTTAAAATTGACAGATGTTCACCAGATGTAAAATAAAATTAGAAAATTGACTTAAGAATTATCGATATCTCCTCTTACAGTTGCATAATATTAGAATATATATATATATTATTTTAACCAAACACTGGGAATCTCACCAAAAAATCCTTATAAAAAAGAAAAAAAAAAAGTTAACCCTCACTAAGTAAATAAGGCATCCAATACCATCATTCTACTAGACATATTTATCTACAAGAATCAATATTCTCAGAAATAAGAATCTTGAACACGTTCAATCAAGCAAAAAGTTACTCGCATCTACTACTTTTCCTCGTACAACGAACAAAATTGCAATCGAAATCAACAACACTGTTTCCATCCACAAATTTCCTCGACCATCGGTGCGATTCCACCGATTGTGTACGCCACTTTAGATGCGTGAGAGCCGCGGCATAGGTACTGTTACAACACCAGCAGCGCTTCTGTTTCATGCGACAAAAGCGGCTGGCCACCCCTTGTCCGGGCGAACGAGCCAGGACCGGTTCCATAAGGAAATTACCACCAGCTTAATTTCACCAGCCGAGTTATGTCAACGTTGCTTACAGGCAACGGGGTGATGTTAAGTAGCGGGGTATTTTCACTCGGTGTAGGCTGTCTTTCAGCCGAAACGGGGGATTTTCTGGAGAAGTTTGTGAGATGTGTCATGTGGGTAATCCGAATGTACAAGTCCTATTTAGGGATTGGAGGCACGTTTCAATCCTCGTTGAACTTTTATTTTCTAAACTTGGTTTTTTTTCTTTTTTTAGTGAGAAATTATGTAAATCATGATGTAATTGATATGACATTGACATAGTTCCATCTATGTGTAATTTGAATGTACAGAGTGTTCCATCCTCCGTTGATTTTTTTCAATAAAAAATTATGTAAATTGTATGTATATAGTAATTTGAATGTATAAGATGTTCCATTAGAGATATGTTTAATCCTCGTGGACTTTTATTTTTTAAAACTTGATTTGTGATTTTCTTTTTCTCTAAAAATCATGCAAATTATATATTTGATCAGATATTGATCTATAATTATCTATATGTTTTATTAAGAATAAAGATATTTATTTTTCAAGTTTGATTTGCTTCTTTTTATTGTGATCTGTTTTAATTGTGATGTAATTGAAATATTGTTACAGTTATGAACGATTTCTATGGTAATAGTTTAATAGAATGCAGAAAAATCCTTTGCACAAGTGATTGCAAGATCAATTTATTACAAGATTTAATTATATTTTTTAGAGATTGCAAGGCTATCTTTGCATTTTTAACAATAATGTTTATATACAATTTTTTTTATAAACCCAATATTTCAATATCAATAGACTGGTAATATACGTTCTTTTCACGATTTACAATTATATTTATATTTAATTTATATTTCCCTAAAAATGTGCTGGAAATTATTTTAAGAAAATGTTTTTTCTTTTTTAAATTAAAAAGTAAAATAAAATTTCTATAAATGTTATTTTATCATAATGTTCTAAATATTTTTTATTTAAAGCCAATATTTCAATATCAATAGACTGGTAATATACGTTCATTTCACGATTTACAATTATACATTTAATTTATATTTCCCTAAAAATGTGCTGGAAATTATTTTAAGAAAATGTTTTTTCTTTTTTAAATTAAAAAGTAAAATAAAATAAAATTTGTATATATAAATTATATTGACGATTTATACAATTCTATGAACAAAATTAACATTATTAATATTTTCTATTTTAACATATAAATGACAAGGGTATCAAGTATTATTGAATAAATTATATTTCTATTTTTATTGAAATAGAAATTGTTTCTTATTTCTTTCAATTAATACAATATGCTTATAACTTAAATTTAAACTGATAGATCAAGTTGTTGCTTTAATTAAAAAGAAATTTACAATTTTGTCATAATTATAACATTTAATAAATTTTATAAATGTTTATATTAATTGATATTGCCAAGTTCCAATTGAAATTTTTGGATTATCGAAATATAAATAATATCCAGATCTGATGGAAATTTACAGACAAAATGGAATTTGTGAATTGTTGTCAGAATATTTTTCGAGAGAAGATTTTCCAAACTTGGAACTTTGAATGTTAGTTAAAGGGGAAGAAAAAAGAAAAAAAAAGAAATCGAAAATATTCACTAGCACACAACATTTTTAAACTTCTCTCTCTCTCTCTCTCTCTTCTGTTTCTTCAGGAAAGTTTCTCCAATTTGAAAGGAATCTCGTGGAATTTGGATTTGTTTCAAAGCTAGGAAACGTAAGAAAAGACGAGAACACAATAGGGTCGGAAACGAGCCAAGAATCGTAGCAAAATTGAGATTCACAATAAAAGAACTATTTGTACCAATATTATTGGAACCTACCTTTAAAGAGAAAAGTAAAATTTCTCTATTGTATAAAATATAAGAGAAAGAAGATTGTAATCTCAAAGAAGAAAATATTAAAACGCAGAAATGAATTTTTTGAATTTACGTAAAAAAAAAAAAAATATTGAGTTTTCAAAAAATGTAACAATATATCATTAATCTTTAAGAAAGTCATAAAATCGCCATAATAATTTATACATAGGAAAAGAATTAAATAAAATAATTAACTAATTATACTCTAAATATCAAAATAATGAGAATTATTTCTGTACAAAAATGTTGGTTAAGATTGGTTTTTCACTCTTCTTAATCTTCATAATCTTTAAGACGTCAAGAAAATAAGAACTTATACAAACTTTTATATAAAAGCGATTATAATTTATTTTTAATCATCACAATTCTAAACATCATTGATAATGAGAATTATTTTTGCACAAAAAGATTAGTTAAAGTTTATTCTTCGCTATATATTTGATCAAATGAGAAAAGAATAAATCGATTATTTATGATATAGCATTTTATCTAGAAGATGAATTAAATTAAGATTAATTTTATTAAAAGGGTTATATAATCGCATATAATTGAAATAAAATCGAATTTTTAAGAGATTTTGCGCGACTGGATTCATTTATTGTATGAACGAGTCATGCAACTACGCTCCATTTTTAATATAAAAAAATTAAAACACTCTAGAAATATTGAGAAGAAAAAAGAAAAATATTTAAAAAATTGAATCTAGAGAGAAAAGTACTTTAAAATAGATAGATACTTTTCAAAATTATAATTATGAGAGAACAAATCGTGTAGATTTTTAATCATTTCAATTCAAAATCATATAACAAGCACGTAACGTTTAAATCATCATAAATTAATCCTATCACGTCTATTCAAAATTCAAAATTGTTGACAATTTTTCAATAATTCTCTAATAATAAAATTGCAACTTTGGAGTGTCAAGTCAATAACAGATATATCAAGTAATCGGTATTCAATTGGGTGTAAAAATCTTTTGATAGCAAGATAACAAATTTCAAGATCAATCACAATTATAATATAAGTATCTATTCTTAACAAGTAACATAAGGTTTAAAAAAAACGATCTAAAAATCTCTGTTCAATCCCTTTAACATCGCAAATCCAACATTCCTGAAAAATCGCCCGCAAGGAATTCGAAACTCCTCGAAATTTAAAAAAGTCACGCAGGGCGACATGCCTGCTGTAGTAGCGCGCGCCTAGCAACCGCACACTCGCGAAAAGCGTCCGCATGTTAAATCGGGTTGAGTACGATAGGAAGAACGGTGGAGAACGGTGAAAAACGAAAAAAAAAAAAAAAAAAAAAATAGAGAAGAAAAGAAAAGAAGAAAAAACAAGGGAAGAGAAAATGGGGGGGTGTGGCTCACCTAGGCCCATCTTGCGCTTCAGTTTCTTCAACACCTTCATCTTGCTGCGCAGCGGTGCCAGTATGTTGCAATCCCCGTTGTTGTTCTGCGGCTGCAACTCGGCGGAGGGTTGCTTCCCGGCGGGGTGGTGGTGATGATGGTGCTGGTGGTGCGCGTGGTGCGTCTCGTGATGATGGTGGTGATGGCGGTGGTGGTGATGCTGCTGCTGTTGCACGCTCGCGCCGGGACTGGCGAGGTGGCTGCAGCAGTGACAGGGGTGGCTCTTGCTGCCCTTGACCGCGCACGACGCCCCCATAAATGTAGCCGTGGTGCTCTCGAGGTGACGAGAGCAACCGTGAGGATCCGGGGGGGGAGAGGGGGAGGGAGGGGGAGGGGGAGAGAGAAAGAGAGGACAGGAGGGAGGGAGGGGAGGGCAGGGCAGGAGGGTATGGAGGCGAAACGAGGGGACCGAGGTGAGCGCGGGGGCCGAACTTGAGCACCGGCTGATTTCTCACTGATTGCACATAGAGCACACTGTGACGTACGAACAGTCGCGGACTGCCGTCCAAATACCAAGTACAAATACCAAGTAGAAATAATAGTCGGATAAGATCGAGCGGAATACGGGAGAAAGATTCTGATCTCTCTCGACACACACTCAGTACATATGTTTATACGTATATTGGCTCGTGGAAGACGAGTAGAAGAGAGGCTTCTGATCTGTTGTCGAGGGGTGAACGATTCGATAAACCGCGTGACACGGGAACGAGTTAACGAATAATCAACAACGCGTAACCATTAAACTCCTGCGTGCCCCTCGAACGGCCAGGGACGACTGACTGTTCGTCGACCGAGCGCCAGAGTATCGCCGAGCCGCGCGCGAGCCACCGACCAATCACCGCCGCGCTATCCCCACCACGCGCCTCCCCACAGCGGCAGAGTGGGGAGAGTGGCACCTGGTGGACAGCTGCCCCTTACCTGGCCACGACACACCGGGCCACCCCGTGCGCCAACGCGGGGAAGCCGGGGTGGACTCGCTGCCTTCTCTCGATACGAGAGAGGCGCGGGGTTGGAAATTCGAACTGGTCGCCGACTGCACGAGCATTGATCCTGCTAGACGCGATTACTTTTCTCTCTCTCTCTCTCTCTCTCTTCGCTGCCTGTTTCTATCCCGCGCGGACGGAGAGGAAGAGCATTTTCGAGCCGGACACGGGGATTTCGGCTCAGACGGACGGCTCGGTATGGATTTTTTTCCTCGAGTCGATGACTCGTTCCACGCGTTAAATAGTATGCCGCGAGATTTCTGTGGTGGAAATGTCCTTCTGGAAATAATGGAATAATGAAAGGATTTTTCGGTGATCTTTGATAACTTTTATCGAGGTTGTTATTGATCCTGTATACTTGATGGTATTTTTTCTCTTGAATTGATGGTATTTTGTTTGTTACGATGTGTGGATTTCTATAGTAGAAATTTGGAAATGGAAACACAGGATTTAATGGAAAAAATTTCATTTCGTTTGATATTTGATGAAATGTAATTTTTTGGTAAAATTAGTTTCACAAAAGTTTTGGAAAATGTTTTTTGAAAAAGTAATTTTATAATTACTGTTTCAAAACTAATAGAAACGAAATTCATCAAATAAAATTTTTTGAAATAATATTTTCTATATAAGAAGACAATAAAATCAAAATGAGAGTAAGGAATTTTATTGATTTTTATTTTAATATTCATGTGAATTAAGATAGATTAATAAAATTAGATGCGAAAAGTAATTGATTTTTAGATCGTTGAAGTTTCTAGCGAGGACCGACAGTTCTTGGCAAAGAATCAAAGCAACTACTATTTTCTAGATCTACTTTTTATTCTTAATAATATATTCATATGTATACCGTGCTAGCTAAATGAGTTTTTAATTATTATTATATCTATTTTTATTAATTAATATCCATCTAATATGAAACATCGTAAAACTTATTCCCTGAATTTATTTTTACAAATATTTTATCTTTCTATAAAAAAATGTTTAAAACGATTACATTTGTAATAGATATATTTCTTAATAAATGTTTCTATTAATCTTTTTTTTTTAACTGTTTATTTTCATTAATTTTTATTAATATATATCGTTAATACATATAGAAATAATATTTTAACTACATAAATAATATTTGTCCATAATGAAATTATATCCCTTTTTATAACTGAATTTACTTTTTATATTTTTATACGGCTTGTACCAGAAAATGTTTATAAACGTTTCTAGAAAAAAATTATAGTCTGGAAATAAATTTTACTGAATTTTGATACGAAAAACAAAAACTATCACTACCAGATTTTTTTTAATAGATTACAAAAAAAATATATACGAAAAAGGGTGTAATTTAAAATTTTATGAGAAAAATCAAATAAGACTTAAAAAATATAGATAGATGTGATTTTAAAAAGACGTAAATGAAACAACTTTTGTTTATAGAAATATTTCTTTCCTAGTATATTCCTATTATTCATTTCAATTCATTCCCCAAAATTATCCCAACTCTGTGATAAAGTCACTTCTCTTCTAATGTAAATAGATTTAATATTATTTCTATTCATTTTAATTCATTTCAAAAATTTTTCCATTCTGCAGTAAAATTACTTTTCCACCAATAATCAAACGTGACAATTCATTCATGCAATATTTTATTCACAATCAAATTCGGATACAAATATTTATAGTAAATATTTCCTCTATTATTTCTGTTCATTTTAATCCATCTCCAAAATCTTTCCATCTCTGCAATAAGCTCACGTTTACTCCTAATAAACACGGATATAACAAGCCCAGAAACATGACAAATTCGATCGGATTAATAAAGCAGATAGCCACGACAGCTATCTTAAAGACGCGGCCTGGTGTCAAAACACGCAATTACACGTGAAAGAACGAAAGCGCCATAGATCTGCCATTTTATAATCGTTCAATGGCTCGATATTCATTACGACGATCCATCACGAGGGAGCTTGGCTTAGCCTCCGAGAAAACTGGAGCAACGGTGATACCGCGAGACGCAACTTACGATCCGCCCCAGTGATACGGAATATGTAAATAGAGTCGTAGAGGAGGCGTCGTGGGTGAGGCATGGCATGGTATTCTCGCGGTTGAAAACGGTCCAAATGGCAACGTTTGCGATCATGAATAATGCAGATGGTATAGGAAGTGTGTGCAACGAGATATCGAGTAAGTAGAATCCAGAGTCTTTTCGGGGAAACAGGGCAAAACGGGGTCCTCGATTGTAACGAGCGCGTACACACGTCAAATTATTGCTGATGTTAAACTGTGTGAACAGGATAAAGATGTCAATTTTTTGCGGTTTTCTTTTTTTTATTTTCAACTGGTGGACGTTAAACACGTTTTTTCTTTCCTTACTTTCTTTTCTTGGGTATCGCATCGAGCGATCCGGTAATTGGCCAGTTGGAATGGTAAATTAATTATGTAAATGAAGAAATTATCTTTTTCTTTACTTTTTTTTTTTTAATTATATTATAAATATATATATTTCGTTTTAGAAATTTAAATTTCTCTACACGGCTGATAGTCGTGCATATGGAATTTGAATTTTTTTGGAATAAAAGGATAATCTGTTATTTCTTTTTCTTCTTCGTTATTAAGAACCATTATGGATTTATTTTTTATCAGTTTGTACGATTTTCTTTCTCAAGTATAATTTTTTTTATTTTTTCGCATAAATTAATTTTTTTTTTTAAATATAGAATTCTTTTGTAGCTTTATAAATAATAATTTATAAGTTTTAAAAATAAATTTATAATATTTGTTTGTAAATTCTTGAAAGTGTAAAATATACATTATTAGATATAACTATTACATGTATTTTTATTATTAATACTTTAGTATATAAAATAACCCCATTTCATGAATAAGTGAAATCATAAAATTTAAAACTATTTTCAAAACTAATTTCAAAAATGTACGAAGAAAGTTTAGTGATTAAATACACTGCTAAATGATATTTGCATGTTTAATTTAATGTTTGAACCGAATTTAAATTATATTATATTTATTAAATTATATTGTTTTATTACAAATATAAAAAAAGAAAAAAAATAACAGCGCTTTTAAATAAAACGTTAAAAATGAAATGTAAAAGGCGATCTTTAAAATCCTCTCCTATAATTAAATTAACACGATTCTTGCACTTGGCTCGAATCAGCCAGGCAATGAGTACTCGAGCTGTTCACTGTGACGACCTTGTTTTGGTTTGCCATTTCGAATTACAGGATCGAAGTACAACGGTAGAAATATCGTGTTTCCATGGGATTCAAGATTCGTTTCTGGTCCCATGACAAAGAAATCAAAGTTGAAAAGATACGAGGAATTGGACGAGCTAAATTTTGGAAATAATTTTTAACCTTAATCGATGATTTGAATTCTATCGAATCCTTTTTTCGAATATAGACAGAATATAATGTAGACAGAATAAAATTTATTATTTGTGTCACACAGGGAATTAAGAATAATCTAAAAAAAATTTAGTTTTATTTAAATTTAATCATTAATTAAACTATAAATAATACATTGCATATAAATAATGCAAGATTTCTCCTTTCATTCTGTTAATTCTTAGCTACTCAAATCTTATACAGGTACCCTTATAACAACGTTATCTTTCGTAAGAGTTAACAAAAACGTAAATCATTCAAGTTTTCATCAAAATGACATCGATGCGGGTTGAAAATCTATAATAATAGAAATATTCTTATCTCGTATCTTAATATCTGTATCTCTATTTATCAATTTCTTCGAAGGATATTCGTTCCTTTGAATCAAACGTGATTTCATCTAAATTTTCTTTTCAAAAATTCAAAGTTATTTAAAAACTGTATTTTATTACTTCATATATGACGATTAAAATTTTGATTAAAAAAAGTTGTCCACAATTCCATCCGTTAAAATTAAAAACACACTATTGAAAACGAAATATTTACTATTTTTATATTTGAATAAAACTTTTTTTTAATAAATTATAAATATAATAATATTAAAAAATATATCAATCTAGATAAGTAATCAAAATACAAAAATATTGAATCATAAATAAATCATGAAAAACATTGAAAATTAATTAAAACAAATTTTAAATTATGAGATATATAATAACAAAATACTTAATTTTATCGTTTTATTAAAATATTAGTAAATCATTGAAAGTTGAAAAAAGATCTATTTTCACATACTACTAGAGAAAAATACAATTATTTAATTAAAATAAAATGCAGACTTTTTAGATAAATAAATTAACATTAAAAAATATTCGAAACTTAAATAAATTGTAAACCCTTAAAAATAACTTAGACAAGCTTAATTAGCTACGAAAACATTGAACA